GCAGTTTGTTTGCAGTATATCTGCAAAGTTTCATCCCGCTGGGACATGTACTTTTGGAGATAAAGGGCTTTAAAGGATGCACCTTTCATATCACGTGACTTGTCAACTGATGGTGTCATCATCCCATGAGGTCAATTTTTGTCTGTCACACATCCCCTTCCAGATATCTGCAAAGTCTCTAAGTCATGCGACTTCTGAACTGATGACGTCATCATCCCATGACATCAATTTTCATGTATCACACATTCCCCTCTAGATATCAGCAGTTTCATCTCAATGGGATATTTACATCAGGAGATATAGGGCTTCTAAGTTTGTACATTAATGCCCGGTCACATGACACCTGATGACGTCATGATCACAATGTTCTTGACGGACCCTCTCTAGCTGGTGGACGAAGAGTATGCACCTAATATATAATCAGTCACACCGATAAAAGTGCCAAAGTCCAGCTGTTGAAAAACGCTTACAAAACTTATGGGGAAAAATAAATACTCAAAATTCAGTTATAAATAAGATGATGACGTCATCATGACGTCATGCTTTGCAACACATCTTTGCCATAGGGTCTATGCTTGAGGCAACTTTGATGAAGATTGACTCCTTACAAAGGGACTAAAGTGCTCCAGAGAAAAACTGTGCACAAACGAAATGAGATTTGAGAGAAGAAGAAGAAGAAGAAGGAAACGAATGTTGTGTTTGTCGGTATAAAAACACTGAGCTGTTTTGGGAACCTTTTTGGTTTGATAAAAAAAGGAAGTTGGAACAGGCAGGAATTGAACAGCTGCCGTTAAATCCGCAGTTCAAATTTCTATGGGACCACTACCCCTCCTTGCAACAGTAGGGCATGCCAATACAGGCTCACACGCTTTCCCCGTCGCCACGTGTTTGGCCTTTTGCCAACACTGCGCATTGTGTGCTGCCTAAGGTACAGGCAGTTATCGGGCGTCCATTCACACAATAGCCAATGCACAGTATGCGAATGGAATTTTCAAGTTCGCAAATATTGTAAGGGGGTTTTGTCATCCTTGTGTCATCTCTGTGAAGTACACAAGTTAAACACTTCATGCAGTTGACTTCAATGTTTCAGCTATCATCTAATGGACAATTCACTCTGAAATCTTTTGTGGTTGATTTTTTATTAATTTTGTTGAGCAAAAGGACTTTTTATTATAACTTCCGGTATGATGACGTCATCAGCCCCAAATTTCACATGTGTTAACTGGATAAATATCATCATCCACATCTATTTTCAGGCGAGTCAGACAAACTTCGCCACAGATATCTATTAAAAATTTAGTCTTTTTGAGATAGATGCAGGAGTTCGTATTTGTGAGAAAAGACAGTCACACAAGTGAAGGCCTATTGGATGGCACCATCCAAGAAGAATGTTATGGCTGCTCCTGTGTTAAAGTAAAGTAGATTTCTCTTCAGTTGCTAAAGGTAAAAGGAAAATAGATGCAGCTATTGATGCTGCTGGGGATGATGTTGGACATGAGAATTGGGAGGCATCCTCAGCTGCAAGCTCAGCAACATCAATAGCAGAAAACAAGGAGCTCAGTGACCTTTTACGAGGACTTGAATTGACTGGTACAAAGTCTGCTGTATTGAGTGCAGTGGACCCTTATGCAAATAGTTTTATTCCTGCAGATATGTGAAAGAATTTCCAGTGATACTGTCAGATCTAAAAGATACCAACACATTTAATCTGACTTACACAGAGCTGTTGGAGAAATGTGAAAACATAAAATATGATGTGACTAAATCAGCCCTATGGTACAGATACTGGGCAGGAAGAATTACTGCATTGAAGATGAAAAGTGTCTGCAGGACAGATGCAGCTTATCTTGCATTAAGCCTTATTAGATCTGTGTGTTACCCTGATCTATACAAGTTCACTACGGAAGCAACTCAGTGGGGATGTGAGCATGAAGAACATACAAGAAATGTGTCATGCAGACTACATGATGATAAAACATGTAGCGATTCATGTGGAAAACTCTGGTCTAATTATAAACCCAAAGTATCCATACTTTAGTGCATCACTAGATGGCCTTGTACAGTGTTCATGCTGCAGAGAAATTGGTGTTTGTGAAATAAAGTGCCCCTTTTGTAAAAAGAACAAGTCAATGAAAGAGGCAGCAGAGGAACAGATATTCTGCCTTCAACCAGTGGGTGCCACACTTTGTCTCTCCAAAGAGCATCGGTACTACTATCAGGTTCAGACACAGATCTTCATCCCTGAGAGGGCGTACTGTGACTTTGCCGTGTGAACCAAAGAGGATGTTCATATCGAATGTGTTCTTGGTGATGATGCTTTCTAGAGAGACATTGTTTCAGCAACAACCCATTTCTTCAAGATTGGAGTGTTACCAGAACTTCTGGGCAAGTATTTCACCAAGTTACCACAGGATTTGACTGAGCATCACATGGAAACTAATTACGCTTCTGAGAAGTGGCCTTATTGTCGCCAGGTCAAGAGTGGACGCATGATTCTGTGTGACAATGCTACATGCCAACTCAAACAGTTTCATTTCAAATGCTTGAAGTTCAAAAACTCATACAATGCCCCCAAAATATGGTATTGTCCAGACTGCAGGAAACTAAACAAAGCACAAAGGAATATTTCAAAAAAACAATAAGTACTCTCCATCTGTAGAAATATGGTAAACTTAAATCTGAACAAAGTATGTGCTCACTTCAACACGGACTTTCTTGTTTACCTTAGATCAAGTTTTTCTTCATTATCATGATACACAGGAGATTGACTTTCAAGAATATTAACAAGTAACCTGTCAAGTACTTGAACCGGTGCACAATGTACATGCATTCCATTTTATACACAACTAGTATGTTTGCATGTGCTTGTCTAATAAGGTTGAGTAATGTCAATTTTTCACATGTTCAATTCAAAACATGAAAAGGGAATAAGTATAAATTTCACATTTAAATAAAAAGATTATATATTTTGTATTAAGCATTTCAGATGCAGGGTTTTCAGATTTTGGACAAACATTTCAAACTCAGGAAACTTTGTTTATATGGTTCAGACTTTCATTTAAATCCACAAATCTTGATTACATATGTTCCTAAGTGACAAGTCTGAAGCCTAAGTCATGTACACATGGATTGATTCTGTGCCACATGTATGTTACAGAGCTTAAGTCAAAGTTAAATAACAGAATAAGAGACTGGAAGATTGGTTCTGGGTTTATTGTAGTGCAAATAAATGCTTGTGTCCATTACGTCTGCATAAAACTCTACACAATCTGTCAAAACCTGCAATAAAGAGTCACATTTTGATGTTCTGATTTAAAATACAGTCTGTTTGTGTTGTATATTCTTTGGCCAAAAGTTAAATTAACAGGCACATTTATAACTGTCAACTTTTCATAGTTTTCTCTCATCAAGTTAAATTTGGTTTTCCACGGGACTCGTTTGAAATTGAGGCTACATTTCAGGCAACAAATTTTGAGCCAACATCTTCAAGCGTTCATTGAAAAGAACATTTTGCTCTTGTAACTCCTTAAAAAGTGGTAACTTTGAAAATGGCAGTTAAAAAGGAACCGGTTAACAGCAGTGATGAAGTTACATAAAAATTTGATTCACTTGTATCTAGCCGTCTGAGTGACTTGCTCATATTGAATAAAGCACAGCAAATTCTTGCTATTTTATGTATAAATTCTACTGGCACGGGGTGACTCAATATGTTATATTTTTGTCGTACCCCAATGATTCGCTCCATATGAATACTTAAGTGAACTATCTCTGGTGTTTTTTCCATATCTAGAGCTGAGAGCAGTGGTTTCCCTTCCATAAATGCGGGAATCTCAACCTAACATCCATAGTAACCAGCATCATCCTTTATATCAAAGCCTCTGTCTGCAAGAATGATGTCTTGTGGAAGAAGCTTCCTAAAGAACTTAGACTCTTGTGTTATGGTTTTGTCTGTTCCTCTGCCACCCCAAGCTACTGACAAGAATGAAATCACACTCAGTTACAAAACACTTCAAAACAATCAATAATTACAGCAACTCTAGTATCTTGCCAAATGTCCGAAGGAATTGCATAGGCATGGTTTTCCCACAATACCTCCCTATCCGCCCAAACCATCAGACTTGATAAACCATAGAAAGCATCTATCCCAGTACAGAAAATATGTAAAATTGTAGACTCACTAAGAGAAATGGGTTTGCGGGTACACCATGGAATCAATCTCTTTTGGGCGAGGTGTGGCTCTTAAAAGAACCGGTGAGTGTTAACTCGACATTTCGGCCAGTGTGCTACGGCCATCCTCAGGAGAGTGTGCCGGACTGGAGTGGATAGTTGGTTATAAAGGTAATCCAGAGGTGGTGGAGCACGGAACGGGATTCGTGGGTTGAGTGACTCAGTGTGGGCGCGCTGTTGCATGAAGGAGTTGGATCCTAGAATTGGCGGGAAACCTTGGGTTCAGGTATAGGGGACCCTAATGCCAAGGGGGAGGGATGGGGGTGGCTTCGGCTGGAGAAGACCCTAACACCTGGGGTGGGAGGGCACGGATTTTGGGTATAGGGGACCCCACTGCCCGGGAATGGGTGTCTGCTTGGGTGCTAGTAGTGGGCGCCAGATGTTGCTGAGCTTGAAACCGATGTCTTGGGGTATGGTGTTGTGCCGGAAAATCTTGATGGCTTCTCGGATTCTCCTTGGGAGCCAGTTCTAGATGGGGGCGATGAGTTCTGCTTTGTCCCATTTGATGAGGGGTCCATGGAGTGTGCATATTTGAAGATGGCTGACTTGTCGTATCCTCCTCATTGGCCATGCGAGCGGTGTTCTTGGAGTCTGGTGGGGAGGTTCCTTCCGGTTTCCCTGATGTGTACTTGGCCACATTCACATGGAATGTGATATACACCGGGGTGACTACTGGGTGGGTGCTTGTCCTTGTAGGTGTGAAGTGCAGCCTGCAGCTTGTTGGGTGCTGAATGATGTACTTTGATGTTGGCCGAATGCAGGATGCTCCGTAGTTAGTGGGAGGTGGGGCCCAGGTAAAGTAGGCATACTGTGGCGGTGGGGGTTTGGGGGGCTTCGGGTATAGGTGACCCTAATGCCATGGGGGACGGGGGGACTTCGGGTATAGGAGACCCTAACATCCTGGGGGAGGGCTTGGAAAGGTTGTTACATTGGTTGCGGTAGCCGTTCATCTTGAGGGTAGACTTGCAGTGGTGGAGTTCTTGGTGTAGGTTGTTCTGGTCACAGATCTCGTAGGCTCTGCGGACCAGGGTGCGGTTGACTGAGGTCTTGATGGCTGGGTGGTGGAAAGATTTCTGGTGCAGATTCCAGTCGGTGTGGGTGGGTTTGCGGTGGTTGAGGGTGCCGTCTGGGTTTCTGAATAGGTGAACATCTAAGAAGGAGAGGTATCCGTCTTGTTCTTGTTCCATGGTGAACTTGATAGTGGGGTGTTGCTTGTTGAGGTACTTGAGGAATTCTTGGAGGTGATCTTGACCATGGGACCATATGATGAATGTGTTGTCAACATAGTGCAGCCAAATGGTGGGTTTGAGGTCGGCAGTGAGGAGAGATGATGTTTCGAATTCTTCCATGAAGATGTTAGCGAGGACCGGGGATATCGGGGATCCCATGGAGGTCCCAGCTGTCTGCTCGTAGAACTGATCTTGGAACTTGAAGTAGCTAGAAGGAACGCAGAGGCCGATGAGGTCGGCAATCTGGGCAGAGAAGAGGGCTGTGCGGTCGGCGAGGGAGGGGCCACTGTCCAGTCAATCCTTGGCAATCTGGCATGCTTCTTCTGTGGGAACACTGGTTAATAACGACACCACGTTGAAGCTCACCATGATGTCGGTTGGCTGGAGTGACAGGTTTCTCATGAGCTTAACCAACTGGGTGGAGTTGGAGATATGGTGTGGTGTGTTGCCGACCCGGGGCTGGAGGAAGCCAGTCAGGAAGTGGATGGTCTCATAGGTCGGTGAGCCCTTGGAGACACAATGGGGCACAGAGGGATGTCTGGCTTGTGGATTTTGGGTTGACCAAAGAATTTGGGACAGGTAGACGTCGACAGGCGGAGCGATGGTACAAGTCTCCTGGGATGGAGTCAGAGTGGAGGAGGGCAAGGAGGTGGCTGGTGATACATTTCTCGATGGCTTGAGTGGGGTCCTTGGGTAGGGGGCGGTAGGTGCCGGATGTGAGGATGTCTTGTACTTTGTTTGAGTAAGCCACACGGTCCATGACCACGGTGGCATTGCCCTTGTCGGCCGTGATGGTGTGTATGGACTTGTCGCTGCAGAGATCACAGAGGGCTTCAACTTCGGGTCTCGTGAGGTTGGACTTGATCGGTTTGGCGTGTAGGAGTGCTTGGTAGATCTTGACTCGGATATTATCGGCTGTGGTCTTGTCACGCTTCCGTATGGTAGGTTCCGTGGCTTGGATGATGTCGGCTGGGGGAACGGCGCGTGGTGGGGTAGCGAAGTTCGTGCCTAGGGACAGGACATCTGTCTCGGTGGTCAACAGGGTACGTTGGCTGAGGTTCAGGACGGTGTATCATTGGAAATCACTCTGGCTGTGGAGGTGGGCTGGGAGGGGCGTTGGTGGTGTTTGCTGATGCAGTAGCCACTGCCCTGCTACCATCTTCTGTGTAGGAGCCCAGTCAAGATTAGTTTCATCCTGCAACTCTACAGGCTTTCCTAAAAAAGGGAAAATGACACCAAACAATAAGGGAACAGACGCCAGCCTTTTCAACTTCTATCTTATCCTCAGGTTTTACAGTGAACCTCAAACCACTTTTGTGAACTTGCTTTTGAAATTATGTTTAAAAAGGATAGTACAAAGGAAACTATTTAAAAAGCTTTTCATAGGTTCGCCCTGTTCACTGGACCTATTATTGCATTGTTCATACCTACGTGTAATTATCCCCCACCCCCAAAAAAAGTGAAAGAGGAAACATTTCTCAAAATTCACTGAAAATATCATCGATTTGTGACAGCCCCTTATTTCCCATAATTTAGTAGAACCAACATTAAATCATGGAAACAGTGTCACGAGGGTCAACACAATCCCAATTAAACATGTATTCTATTTTTGCAAAATAAATTGTAATTCCAATCGGCCCTCATTTTCAATCAGTGCTTTTCACCGTAAATACATGCAAGCATTGATTCGTGGTCCGAAAGGTTAATCTGATGTTTCACCAAAATAAGAAATATAATGAGTAATATAAAAAATAAGGTCAACAAAGTATACCTTTGATGAAATGTTTAGAACATACTTGATAATTTCCAATCTTTTCTACCGAGATGCTGCCCTGTTGATGTGTGCCAGCCACTTGCGCTGTCGTCTGCTTCAGTTCTTTCTTTTCTTTGCCATTTTTCACACGAACTGTGGGTATTCTGAAGAAAGACAAATGGCCTTCTCTTTCTCCATGATTGCCACAGCTCACGACTGCACAAAAATTTGCCATTTTGCTGACGTTTAAGTAACCTCAAACTGCAGATTCTAAAAGTATGACACAGTGCGTATATTCTGTGCATGTGTACTAGTGAACATGCAGCTTTAGCTGTGCTTGTCCTCCAGAATGCACAGAGGTCACCGTGTATTGCAAACTTTGACCTTTTGACTCCTGTGCAAGCACCCTATACTCCAGATCATCCCACGCTAACCAAGACCCAATAAACAGTTCATTGCTACTACTCCACCTACCAGTCGATACAGCATGTCTTATATCTTATCCTATATGAGCTACCTCACAGCACAATGAACTGCACACAGCATTCCGCAACGATCCCATCACTGCGACACAGTAGCGAACTAATTGTGCATGCCCTAGAGCACGCTGAAAGCACCCAGACCTAGTGCTATTCGCATTGCCGATTGATCAACGCATACATTAATAATGAATGAGCTAGACTTGTTATATCCATGCAGTTATCAGTTGAATCACACTCAGCAGTAGGACTGCCAGGGACAGCTACATGTTGAACTGGAATGACCACATTTCCTCGATTGGTAAGATCACTTCACGGAATGGAGGAATCCAAGGTCCGTTCTTTCCTTCCCCCATCCACTCTATTCACTCTTTACAATACTCTAATCCTTCCTTACTTCAACTATTGTAACAATGTCTGGGCACACTCAAGCTACAATCAACTCCACCCACTAATAACCATTCAGAAGAGAGCTATTCACATGTGCTCAATCACTTCCACAGGCACACACAACCGCTCTTTTTGCACGACTCAAGACACTTACACTGACTGATATTAACAAACATCAAACCAACGTTTTTATGTTCAAATACTCAATCTTCTCCCACATGCCTTTTCTTCTTTCTTCACCCCTGTCCACAGTGTCCATAACTATCGCAAATGGTCTAAAATCAATCTGTACCTTCCATACACTTGCACATCCTATTCAATTAATACTTTACAATTTCAGGGGCCACGACTTAGGAACGGTATCAGCACGACGGGTCGGCATGAGGCAGACCCGTAGGTAGCGCTTGACTTTAAATTGGTGGCAACAGCAGCAGGCTGACGATGAGGACAATTTTTTTTCTCTTTTTTTTCGGCATGTACAACATGAGTCACATGGGTCTGGCAACCAACTTGCCACTCAGTGGGGATGCAGGCTGGAGTAGGGCCTCAGAGATTTTGGGTAAGCCTAGCTGGCATGGGAAAATGCCATTCATCACCTTTGAAGCACTGGACTCCTTTTTCAAGGTTGGCCAAGAAAGTTTTACTCTGGAAGATGTGGGCGGGAAGGGATCAGTGACAGTGAGCCAGATTAGACGGTTGAGTTACCATGCATTGTCTGAAAAAACATGGTACCGACCCAGTCTCCCACACTTGGTGCCCATAGGCTGTGGCCAACCCCTGTAGCAGGGGCAGGAACCCAACTAAAGACACCTAACAACACATGTATTACAGCAGACAGAAGGGACCTCTCCATGTAGCACTTAAGTCCTCCAACTCACAGTGTGTTGAACCTAGCCTCCATTCGGAGCTAGCTCTCCCTACATGAGTCATGGAGGCAGAGCCTGTGGAGTCGTTCCTCGTGCAGGTGAGTGGCACAGAGCCAGTGAAGGGGCCCTGCACCAGAGTTAGTGCCCCACTACCTCGTTTTCTGGAGAACACCCCCTGCCGTTTCTGGGAGGAACTCATTCAGCGAAGAGAAGTCCACTGGCAGCAACCACCCAGTGGCCGGGTAACTTGGCACCCACATTTCTACCTTAGCATCCTTGTTCTCATAATTAACGTTTGTGTAAAATGGAAAAATGACACACTATGGAGGAACTTGCAAAATAACAAAAATCTCTAACTAAACCAAAGACCTTTGAGGGAAACGTCACAGGAAACTTATTAATAGGGACTAAGACACCAAAATTTGACTTAAAAAAAGGACAAAAAGCATTTATTAATGAAACAGTACCAAAACAATATGCAAAACCGAAAGGACTATAAGACTGAAAAGACTTAACAACCAAAGACTAAAACTTTAAAAGGACTAAAACCAACACAGTGTGTCACAATAGATCTAATGAGGAGACTTTGGCTGAAATCTGTGGTGGTGAATCTGTGGTGGAATGATGCAGCAGCTATTCTGTGACACCTGTGTAGACCGGTCCTGTTGCCGAAGTCTTTCTGATGTTGCTTCATATACATGTGGCTCATTGTCTCATTGTGAAGACTTGGCCAGAAGAATATCTGCACACAAGCTTCAGTACCTGTCCGTAAGTCAATGTGTCCATGCTGTGGTGAAGCCCCTTGAAAACCTCTTCCCTCATTCCATGAGGCAGCACAGTCAAGTCCCTGACCTTGGCTCCACCTGTCTTGTAAGTACACCTCCCATAACGGCCAGATGCTCCCAAACATTAAGTTCTGGTAGCCTCCGTACCATTTTTGGTTGATGCGCCATCTTCCTTCTACTCATCCTGTTGGCATTGGCCAACTTGAGCCTCACCACTCTTTGTGTGGCTGGGTTGCTCCCCTGGGCTTTTTGTAGACTTTGGCTCCATCTTGTGCTTCCATCATCTTCACTTGACTTGCTACTCGACGGGGAAATGGTGGGAACTTCATCATTGGGACTAGATGAAAGGGTGTAGGGTATTTCTGCAGGATGCAGGGCTGCTGGCTAACTGATGGGAAAATGGGTGGTAGGATCATCTTCAATAAGCTTCTTTCGGTTTAGTTGCAACTGATGTAAACACAGGGTACACTCTAAGCTCTGGATGCAATGCTGCTGCCTCTGTCACAATCCAATAGCTTATAATAAAGCTGACTTAAGCATCTGAAACTGCTACAGGATGCTGCCTTGCATGCAGGCCAAATGCCTGAACACCTCCAACATACTTGAACTTGAATCAGCTGTCATAACATCATCTTTAACAGGGCTGGAGTTGTCTGGGATAGGGTCAAACCCACAAAGTAGGAGTGGAGTCAGGACAGCAGTTATTGTGCACTCATAGATCCACTGAACAACCTGTTGGTTTTGACTGAACCTTTGACCAATTAACAGGAAAGACCATCAAAAACCCTTTAAACAAAAGAAAAAATTTACGTAGTCCCTACACGGATTCTCTACCAAATAATTTCTAAAATGTAACAGGGGAAAACTGATACGCTATGGGGGAATTCGCAAAACAACAAAAATCTCTAATTACATTTGTAAACAAAGGTTCTTTGGTGGGGAAAGGTTGAAGGAAACTGAATTAATAGGGACTCAGACACCAATATTTGGTATCAAAAAAGGACAAAAAGCATTTAATGAAAACATATCCCCAAAAGATGCAAAAACCAAAGGTACTACAAGACAGAAAAGACTTAACATCAAAAGACTAAAACTTTAAAAGTGCTTAAACCGTCACAGACATGACAGAGTGTCAAAATGAAATAAGTGAGGAGACTTTGGCTTCAATCTGCGAAGCAAAAAAAAAAGTAGAATGTAAGGTGAAGAAAACAGCAAAACTTTTCTTGTACATGAACCAAAGGAAGGCAGAGCAGAATTAACTGGGGATTAAGACAATATATACACGTATGTACAGACAAAATTGTGCACAGGCCTATGTGGCTCATTTGTATATTCAACTCCCCCTGGCCATCTCAATAAACTACCGACAATAAGAAAGTGGAAACAAAGAAAGAGATTCATGGAAAATACTGCACATATGGCAAAAAGAATAAAGTCAAGTGAAAAACTACAAAACACTAAAAAACAAGATACATGTAAGTAGTAAATGGAAAATAAACTAGAATCCAAAAGCAAGTTTTACAGGTCCCAACAAAGTGCCAAATCTTAATGGCAGTAAATGACTCCCAGTCTTTTCACAGAAAATTAATACACGTAGAAATCAACAAACTACATGTAACTACCAGGAAGAAGATTGCCAAAATGTTTCAACTATAAAATAGACACAAAATGAACTCTATACAGAAATTAGAAAAGTGAGAAACTCACCACTGACTCTTTAGAAGCAGACAGAAACCTGACTCCAACAGAAGAAAAGCACACTCAAGTGAGGAGGAACAAATACATGAACAAGGATAGTGTCTCTGCTGATCTACTCTTCAAACTAAGTGTGGTCAGAGCATGGGGTCAAGTATGGATAGTTCTAAGCAAGGCCAAGTATAGGTACATGTACATAAACAGTGGAATATACAAACAGAAAAATATTGGGGAACTCTAAACTAAAACTGTGTATTTTTTATTGGGGAACTACTTTGAAAAGACGCTTACAAAACTCTAACAAATTTCTAGCTCTGCCATATTTGGTTAAGCATTTTTCTTCATTTTTCCCTTTTTTGAGAAAAGTCACTGGTGCCAGCTGGTTGGACCCCTGCAGGTACCCAAATCAGTCGCACTTGTGCCTAAAAATTGATATACATGTACAACCAAATGTTTCATTCTTATCGCCAATGGTGACCATTTGTGCCCGTTAGTCGCCTACCTTATGAGTCATATTTCAGAATGATCGCTGTCCAGTTTTCTTCTACGTGCACCCAGTAATGTGTCTCTATGATCACATTTTTTCCCTCCCTCTTACTATGAGCCGCTGCAGTCTACTGATTCAAGTGAGAATTTCTCGCCAGCTCATTAGCATTAAAAGTGCCCCCACAGAATCTTTTGAAAAAGGAGATTGTATGGCTCCCTATTATTGAGATTGTATAAATCTTTGCCAGGATCAGCTCCCTGGGTCTTTGGGCTTTCATCTAAGAGCAGAATGGCTAATAAATACAGTTGAAAAATGGCTGTACACCATGTAAGTGCCCAAGAAAGTTGAGGGTTGCCAATTGAAAAATGGCTGCAAACAGACTTCGGAAAAATCACTTGTTTTTTTGGGGGGAGGGTAATTTTGTTTTGTGGGAATAACTCAAAATGTAATCAGTTAACCCACAGAAAATTGAAAAAGCAATTGAAAGATGAGGGACCATATAATAATTTAACATATTTTTCAGATACCTCGGGGATGTTGGTATGCTTGTTATTGGGCCCTGTACAATGACGATTTTACACTGTTTTCAAAGGGGCTTGAATTACATTTAAGCGGACAACACCCTACTATGTACATGTATGGGGACCCAGAGATGAGATGTTTTGTGTATCCATTAGATGCATTAGCAGTCTATGCATGCCACTTGTTTCAGTCCCAAAGGTACATGTAAGTTTGAAACCAAAAGGTGTCAAGCTTCCCTTGGACCGGTCTGGGGCCAGGTACATGTACGAAATAATACTCACAAATAAAAAAACAAACATGCCTTGCTCTTTCAGCAGTTTTTTTTCACATAATTGGTTGTCATTTTTTATTTACTCCATGCGCACAAAATTCAAGGCCTGTCTGTCCGGCAGAAAATTGACAGAATAATGTTTGTGTGTTTTGTCAGATATTTTACATGCATATACAAGTTTGTGTATGTTGCAAATGTGTGTACAGTATGTACAAAAGTCGACCTGGCACCTTACTTTTTTTAGGAACCAGTGGCTCCTCGTTTAAATTTCTCTGTACCACACTGTGTAGCCAGATGACCAATGGGAACACTAGCATGGATCCACAGTAGAGCCATGTGGTCATTGTAGTGGGCCCCTATTGGTCAGCCCGGGAGCGTTGGTGGTGGTGGCACAGTGTTGTTTTCTGAGTCACACTGTTTTGGGTGTGTTTTGGATTTATGCCATTTGGACAAGAGTGACGATGTGAAAATGAACAGCCGAGAGCAACAAAAACCTCAGCAGAAGTCTATAAACTGTCTTTTGTCAGACAGAAGAAGACCCATAGAGGAAGGAGTTAAATCTCTTAATTTTAACCACATAACATCAGATTTTCTTACCTGAAAAAAATGCCAGGGGCACCTTTTTTTCCTGCAAATTCTTCGAAATGGCAATTTATTTATGACACAACCAAGCACAAAGCATTAATACGTCAACTGCAGAAATAAAAATAGAAGTCTTAAACAAGTGTATACATCCTCCGTGGAACAAATAAGGAAAACTGTGAGTGTTTACACATCACCCGGCGTCAAGTGGTTAAATTACCATTTGTTTGATTTTGTAGTGTAACCCGTGGTTCACATTTCAAAATACATGTAGCAGGAACCAAATTTCATATTAATCTAATTCCCTTATGAAAAAACTCTCGACCTCACACAATTCAGGATTTACGTACAAAAGAGATTTTGCTTTATTGGAGGGAATAGACAAACCAATCAATATGAGAAATATAAAGTGAATCCAGAGAACACCAATTCAGATGGCCATAAATTAAACCAGGAGATTTACAGAAAATGCAGGATCCTGTTAAATTAGAATACACATTGAGCTCAAGAAAACAAAATGGTGCCTAAGTTCTTGATGCAAAGCTGAGTTGCGACAAGGTGAACAGGAGTCCATCATGTTGTGTAGCCAGTTGGCAAAAGTGAAGGGCAAAAGTTCAGCAGAAGAAATGTAACGCAAAGGAATACTTGTGGATCTTGCAAGGTTGATGCTGGTGATTAGTGCCGCAGATGCCTTGGTGCACTTGTGCTGTGTCTGCAAGTCACAATATATGTAGCTTGGTGGCTGGGATGCCTGGGGACAGCTCTTCTGGTGGATTGCAGATAGTCCCCTCCAGACCCTCTTTCAGAACATGCAGTGCAGTAACTAAGATAGAGAGCATAGTGGTCCATGCCACATTACTAATATAAAAACATATACGAGGTCAGACCGACGCAACCGACTTTGTATGGGTTACGCGCTTTGGTACATGTAGCTGTACATCTACAAAGACCTCAAAATAAAATACCATCTTGCATGTAAGTTAACATGTAAAGGGAAAATATATCTGAGGCACTGACTTAGAACAAATCTTAAAACTAGACAGGATCACCCTAGGAATATATTACTCTGTCCAACATATCATGAGGTAGGAATCAATTGGTGAAAACTCCAACTGTTAATCAGACTGGTTGGTCTAATGCTTGACCAAGAGAAATTCATCTCTAACTTCTGATGAATTCAATGCACATCAGAATCTATCGAATATTCACGAATCCCTACTCAAATAAACCGTAGTCATTGAAAAGCATTACAAAAGCATCAGTCCAACTGTAGGACTACAGTCAGTCTAACATTTACACCATGGATATGATGGGTGATAAGTCATGACTGACAACTATATTCAAAAGCTGCTCATATTTCTCAATGCAGTGAAGAGCACAGCTTATTTCCAGCCTCCACTAAGTTATAAGTCAAAGTGATTGAAAAGTACACTCAAACCACCTCAAATAACTCACTAAACACTTCTTAAGCTTTTTGTAAAAGCAAAACTTTCCGAGGAACCATCTCATTTGGATCTAGTCTCAAAACATTACTGGCTAGTGGAAATTACAATATACATGTACCAAAACCTTCAACATCATAAATTTGCTTGGACCTCTCAAAATATCCCAAAGTCCAGACTGCATAAAATCAATCTGTACACTTCTTTTTTACAATTTACAAGAGTCACGGTGAAAAATGCAATGACTAAACCCCAGAAAAGATACATAATACATGTAGTAAAAAATGATATAAATAGGAACTCAAACTTACCTAAGATAGAGAACCAACATTCATGAACATAAGGGGAAGACTTGGATTTGGAGGTCCTCCAGTCCAATGGAATACATGTATAGTGCAGAGCACAGACAAAATTCGGCAGACATGTAGTCAGCACGACATCAAAGTTTTGAATGCCAGGCTTGCCAAAACTCTGGGGCAAACTGCCACCCAGAGCATGCCCCTGCCGAATGACCAGCTCAGGCTCTCATTGGACATGTTAAAAAATGTCACACATGAATACTGATTGGTCATTTAGTATCTAGGCAGATAAGCACTCAGCAGAAGTTTATGGCTTTCACAGCTTGGGTAAGGTATGAACATGGTATGAACAACAACTAGGGATTAAGTGTCCCAACATCGGCCTGCTGATCTCCTGAAAATTTACTGGGAGTGTACACACTGGTGTATTATAGTCAGAGATTAAAGGCAGTGGCTACAAAGAGCATCCTGTGATCTCCTAGGAGAGCAGGAACATCAAATATAAACTTAAGGAAGAGCAGGCTATTTGACAAAAAGGAATAGGCAATAGATCAAAGGTTCACCACTGGAACACTGCTTACCAGTAGAAAAGTCAAAAGCTCAGGAAGGAACAATTTAAGTATGCAAAAGGAAAACATAGTCATAAAGAAATAAACTTTGAAATTGTAACCCAAAACCCCTTTTGGGACGGGGTTACAGTAGCAACAAAAATTGAGAAACAAAAGAAAATTATGACACATACATGTACATGTAGCCTGCAGTACACCTAATTTGTGCTTATGCTTTTCCATATGATTTAATAGGCCGACTTGATGCCTCCACTTAGTTTTTTTTACATGACTTAGAAAATTCAAGAAAATCAGATTCGAAGCAAACAAGTCTAGCATATCTAGCCAAGTTTAAAATCTAGGCCCCATAGGCCCTTTTTCTTTAAAGCATGAAAAAATTCAGAAGTTGGCTTTAACATGTTTAAGACAAGTAGGAAGTATAATGAATATCGGATTTACTTACTGCAGTATAAAGACTGCATAACTCACGGCCACCACTCACCAGACGCAAGAGTATGTGACTTGGGCACATAAAACCACCTAGCCCAGGCCTTTAACACACACTTCACTGAATTTTACTCATAAGAAGAACGAAACATGTTCCGACGCTGCATGAAGAAAAACAGGCGAAATAAATCAATTGTTTTCCATTTCTTTTCTCGCTCTGCACCGATTGCGTTTTTCAACCGTAGAGGCGTTTCTAGTACTGGCAAACGAACAGCACTTGTTTCCTTCTCCGGCTCTATGTCTAGACGACTACGGCTTAGTTTAAAAAAAACAAAGCCTGAAACCAAAACTGGGTATCATGTGACAAACCATGTGAGTCTATGTTCATAGAGCTATATATAGGCCCAGTGTACGTGTGAGTTTGTACACAAACCGGCCGCGCGTCCAATACATGACCTACAAGTAGGCCCCCCTGATATTTCCTGACGTCTTTCCTTGAAGTTTCAAGAAGTTGTTCAGCGGCCTGCGTGATTCGATTGATTCGAGCAGACGAATGCTAGCTCTACTGTCATGATTTGACCGAGCCTGGTACCGCTGTGGTGCGTAAAATAAAGTTATAAATCCTGTGAAAATAAGTAAATTTAGTCACGCTCTAATGCCTGACAAACGTGAATACGATCATGGATGGAGCTAGAACTTAACAATATATTGTGAGAGGTCCTGATTTCGAAAGGCCCTACATCGTTTTATATATAGCTCCCTGATAGTACGATTATCGGGTTAATTTGCCCTCAATGGTTTGTGTACCATACCAGTGTGCATACGGGCAAACCAGTTTCAGGCATATTACTTATGAGTCGTCTGGGAAATTTAGCCCACACTCGCACAGAGACTCTAATAGTAATACTATTAGTATTAGGCCCATCGGTACTACTGCTAGGTTCAGGTTCATTTTCAGGTTCACAAGTATTTTCCACATAATTATGGAGGGAGTCCCTGAAAAGCAATACAGTGCTTGTCAAGTAGGGACCCCCACTTACATGCATGTACACATACAAATACCACATTCACATAGACATTACATTGGCATAGGCCTACATAGTACATACATGTACAGTACATGTATGCGTACTAGCAAGTAGCATACTAATACTAGGCGTACTAGTGATGAGATTAAGACCAAGCCTGTACTGTTTGGCCAACGACCATGACTTCTTGACAAATCCATAATATCTTGGAACTCTGTTGGAAGATAAACCTGTAGTGCTGGCCAAAGAAGTTTCAAATTTTCCCTGTTGTTTTGTTTTGTTTTAATGGCTCTTTCAGCTATTCAGGTATGTTCATGCCCCATAGAGACATCGTTCATTACAAGAGCGCATGCACGCTTCATTTTCAAGCAGACAACGATTTTTCGTGCAAGCAGACGACATTATAGCGCAGAATTTTTCAACAACTGACCTCGTGAAATACCAAAGTGTAGAAGCATAAATACATTTCGGGAGGATCTAAAGAAGACATCACAAACAACACACAATTTTCCTCCATTGGTAAGATTTTTAAACAACAGTAAATCTCAGATCAGTATACATGTACAAAAGTGGATTTTATTGACCCTTTCTAACAACCAAAAAAATCGAAATTGCAAACTTGTACATTTATTTCATCAATTAATTTTTAATAGAAGGTAAGTTTTCTGAGACAAAAATGTATGTGTAGCACCAAATTAATGATTCGTCTTTCAATGCATTGATTTCAGGCATTTATCTTGAATCCGCCAGATAGAATTTTTAATAATCAGGTCATTTTGAATCACCCAAAAATCGTATCGATCCAACGATCCAACAGTTTTGTATCCAACAGAAGGATGATGATTTTCTGTTAGATTGTACCGATTTCATTAGTATGGAAACCATTTCTTGAAGGTAGAATCGTTAAATTAGTGACATTCCCAGTTTTTCAGTGCAATTGATTAAGACACTGTTAATTTATATGAATCTAGTTTTCACAACCAGGAAAACTCCTTTTTAATAGATATTGATCAAATTTGGCAACATTAAATTTTTTTATGTGAAAAATGTAACATTTTGGGGGTTGTTTAAAGCCACATTTTTGTTACTTTTTTGAGGCAGGGCACAAAATCAATGCTACTGAAAAATAAACAATGTAATTTGGATTTGTTATGAAAATTTCTTTATTTATGGTCCCTTTCCAGGAAATCTATTAACAAAGATGATGCCTCATTTTGCAATCAGGGCATTTTGCAATCAGACACACATGTAGCCTGTTAATATGCCATTGTTAAGTGCAAATCTT